GGTTTAGGGTTTAGGGTCCAATGTAGATCCCGTACAGAATTCTGATAGACCGGTAGTAGAATTGTAAGTATTCCTAAGAGAACCCTTATGCATAGCTTCCTTACATTACAGAGACCGAACAATTCCCCACGGCACAATCTAACCTCCAAACCCCAAATGCCAAAGCTGAAAATTCCGAACCTCAAACCCAAAAAAACCCAACACCCTCAAAACCCTGAGTTCAATCCCTTGCAGGGCCCTCAAACCTACCTAAAACCTAAACCCTAAACCCTCACCCCTAAACCTCCCAAGGCAACACCAAGGCGGCGGTGTTGACGCGGCCGAGTGCTGAGGTGGTCCGTGTTGCTGCAGCCACCGTTCAGAAGGCCTCTGGGGCTTTAAGGGGGGGGGGGGGTTTAGCGTTTAGGGTTTAGGGTTTAGGGTTTAGGGTTTAGGGTTTAGGGTCTAGGGTTTAGGGTTTAGGGTTTAGGGTTTAGGGTTTAGGGGGGGGCGGCTTTAGCACCTTAGGGCTTCAGGGTATAAAGGCGTGAAGGGTTTAGGATTGAAGTGTTTGAGTCGAGGTTTTAGTTGCAGGGTTTAGGGCTTTAGGGTTCTAGGGCATTAAGGCGTTTAGGGTTTAGGATTCAAGAGTTTGAGTTGAGAGTTTAGTTCCAGGGTTTAGCACATTAGGGTTCTAGGGTACTAAGGCGTTTAGGGTTTAGGATTCAAGTGTTTGAGTCGAGGGTTTAGTTTCATCGTTTCGGACTTTAGGGCTTTAGGGTATTAGGGTATTAAGGGGTTTAGGGTTTAGGATTTAGTTGTTTGAGTTGAGGGCTTAGTTCCAGGGTTTAGCGCTTTAGTGTTTGAGGGTATTAAGGGTTCAGGTGGGTGCTCAAGGTCTACAGGGTGCAGGGTTTCAGGATGCTTAAGTTAAGGGCATTGGAAGGGTCGTATGGGGCCGTAGAAGGGTTTTGGTCCAGGGTTAGCAGCCTCGCACCGGGTTGTGGAAAGAACTGGGAGGCTTTCAAAGGGGGCTCTCATTGGCGTCATAGCCTCTTTATGACCATCGTGGCGTGAGTTCGGAGATTGTGAGCTTTCTTGAAGGCATATACCAGAGTGTCGCGGAGACACTGCGGGACGTAAGGGACGAACCGACGAACTCATGGAGGAATCTGGGGGCCAAGTGCGTGTGCCAAGAACAAGGCAGAGGACGAGTACGCCGCAGCTGTGAACACCCAGATCGTACGTTTAAGTTGGACCGCCAAGACAAACAGACCCAGGCAATTCAAGAATTCCATGCAGATTGTCCGCACCGGGAAGGGCAATCGGTGTTTGGCCCCGGGAAATATAACAGAGAGCTTCAGCGCTGAGTCATGACCAGTCACATGCCACTGCCAGCATTTACCTTGCCTGCGTTCCAAGTTAAGAGTTTAGGGATTGTTTAGGGCTAAAGGGGGCGGGTTGAGGTTCAGGTTTTGCTTGAACGCTTTCCACTTGGCACCCCTAGACTGTACATAGCAAGCCACAGGCACGTCTCAGTTGGGTTTGGGTTGAGAGGTTGAGGGTTGAGCGTCCCACGGCCCGACATCTGAACCAAGAAACCCTGGACCACAATACGTGTGTAGAGGCCGTATAGAACGCCTGTAGAACTTGTAAGAGCCTCGTAGGAGCACTCGTGGAACCAAGCAGCGCGACCACAAGACACGTACCTTGATCTTGCGATGAAAATCAACCGAGGCTTTCGCCATCTTTTAGCCCAAAAGGGTGGTTGCCGTAGCGTAAAAACCCTACACCCACATTCCTAAATCCTAACCCTACTAAGCCCGGAGCCCTAAACCCTAGCCCCTAAACCCTAAACCCTTAAAACCCTGAACCACAAACTACTCTTCCCTCTAACTTCAAGGCTCCACTTAAATTAATGGGTTGCCGAGGTTTCTGTGAAACGGACAGTAACTCTTACACCCTAAACCTTAAACGCACAACCCTAGACCCTAAGAAGTAGCCTGCCAGTCAAGTAATTCGAGCTCTATACCTAGACCCTCCCTCCATCTACCCTCTCTTAGACCCTAAATACCCTTAATTTGGGACCATATTCTCCTACTTGAGGGTGACCCTCCATCTACCCTCTATTAGACCCTAAATACCCTTCATTTGGGACCATATTCTCCTACTTGAGGGTACTTGAGGGGTCCTGGTAGGGTCCGGATTCTCAAACAGCAGCCCCCCAGCAGGCGCAGAAGAAGAGTCTCCTCGGTGGGCAAGGCAGTCCGGGGATGCCTTTTAAAGACACGGTTTAGGGTTTAGGGTGTTTTAACACGGTTTAGGGTTTAGGGTTTAGGGTGTCTTAACACGGTTTAGGGTTTAGAGTTTGGGGTTCAGGGTCAGTAAAGACCGTCATGATTAGCATAGGGCTAGTGGGGGTATGTTAGTATATACAGATAGTTTGGGTACAGATATGCGTATGAACAAAGGTAGAAAGAAGTAAGTATATGGGCTATAGGGCCCAAGAGCAGAGTTTGCAAGCATCTATTCTACCCAGACACCCTCAACGGCCTTCTGCTGTACTTTCGAATGCTAAGGATAAGTAGTGAGTGTCATCAATCAGGGCTCTATTCATTGATGGATAATCTCAAACGCACCAGTTGAATGCTGTGCCTTTATGAACATGCACCCGAAAGCAGGGAGGAGAGATGACCTTTGACCGCCCAGCTTGGATCGGAGACACGTTCATTACGTAGCCTTTGCTTCCAGGCATCTATCGGGGTATCGGTATCGGGCAAGGTATCCCTGACACTGATGTAATGTTAAATCTGCAAGGCCTGGGCTCCAAATTTCACACACACAGACACACACTCCCCAAACACTCACTAAACCCTCAGCCTAGACGACTCCCCTAAGGGGTCCACAGGACCCAATAACTAGGTACTCGGGTTAGTGATAGTAGTGATGTAGGTTAGGATCTGGGAGAGTCTATGATGATCAGGTTCTTGGACGCTTAGGACTTGGAACCCTAAACCATAACAGGCAGACCACGGCCCAGGGCTTGCACAAGGGCCGCCAAGGCTTTCAGCCTTGCCACGTTAGCCTTTAGGGTTTAGGGTTTAGGGGTTAGGGGTTTTGGGGTTTAGGGGTTTAGGGTGTATCCATTTAGGAAAATCTCGCTGGTTGCGCCAATTCCGAGAACTGCACGCGACGCAATTTCCGCAGGCCTCAGCTCCCATCGAAATCCTCCAACCCTAACACGGTTTAGATCTAGAGTCTAAGACCGAACCAGTGTACAAACGCCAAACCCAGTTATACCCAAACGCGTTGCAGTCTTTAAGGATCTATGACTCCCATAAACCTTTACAGGACCCGGTTGCGCGTTCTTGTAAAGCCCCATCTACCTTCCACCCTCAACCCCAAACCCAGCCCCAACAACCTCAACCCTGGAACTACAGTCTGAGATTACAAACAAAGGGTTTAAGGTTTAGGGTTTAAGTTTTAGGGCTTAGGGTTGAGGGTTTCAGCATGAAGATTCAGATTCAGCTAAACAAAACAAGTCAGGTGGAGGAAATCCAGCCTTCTTCGATGCCTGGTGAGGAGTGCACATGGCACCTCATCTTGCAAGCCGTAACCTAATCCTGAATCTTCCCGGTACCCAACAAGCATATACTCCACCCCCAAACTAACCAACCTAAACTACCACCCTAAGCAAAATGCCGGTGGGTGCCTTTAAAAAATTTAGCATCACGCTCCAGGAACTCTTGAATTTCCGACTGTCGGGGTCTCATTTTACGCACCGAAATCATAGTATTACTTGGACCACTAAGGTTTAGGGTTCACGGTTTGTGGTACCAAAAGCATATGTAATTCTTAGTTGGGCCCTAAAGAGTTTGGGTCCCGATTCAACAGACTTCTGTAACAAAGGGAGCCCTCATGTCGGCGACTCGCATACCACGAGGCCTCACTAAAGCCCTCGCCAGTGAGCTTCGGAGGTTTTTTTCTTTAGAAGGGACGATAAGAGTTGTTGCTAAGAGCTTCTACAGGCGTTCCATGAGGGGCTTAGGGTTTTCTGGGTTTATCGCTCAAGGTCTGTACAATCCGAGACGACAAGGGAACCTCTTTTCTGGCTAACCTGACAACGGGAGGATGACTGAACGTTCCGGTAGTTTTATGGAGATATGAACAAAGCCCGATTATGCATACCTCTGTTCTATGTGCAAGGCTGACTGGAGGGAGGACCGAGATAATCTAGGGCAATCTAGGGACCGGATTAACTGGCAACATTGGTCTGTTGTTGAGTTGCGACGTTGGTTCATAATCTAGGCTCCAAAGCCCTAGCTAGTGTAAGTCTAAACAAGGCATATACACACTAAAAAACCCTATCTACCTTTGTCTGTAATGACCTCAATGTGTGTTTTCCTCAGTCTGCATATTTGCTACTCTTTAGGCTTTAGGGTTTCCTGCGGGTCTCAGTTTACGACTTAGCTTAGGGCTTTAGAGTTCGAGGGGGATGCATCTCTTTGAGGGTTCAATTTTCGGGCTTAGGGTACAGACAAACTTTAAGACCTAGACACTGGGTTTAGGTTTTAGGGCCTAGTCCCTGTGAGCATTCACCCTAAACCCTAAACTCTAACCCTAAACCCTAACCCTAAACCCTAACCCTAAACCCTAAACCCTAACCCTAAACCCTGAACCCTAGACCCCAAACGCCAGATTTCAGGTTCTGCTTGTTGACCAGCACTCGCCAAGAGAGCCGCCACCAGCAAAGCCCAAAGCCAAGCAAGATCGCACGTCTTCAAGGCCGGCGAACGACAAGGGGGCTAATATAAGGGCCCTAATAACTATAGAATGGGTTCTGGGGTTCCTTATTATAACTTTAGTATAATGGACCCCCAAACCCTATTCTGATTAGTAAGGCCCCTATATTAGCAGGAGTATTCAAACACAAAGTGGTACTGCGCAGAACGGAGATGTTGTCGGGCCCTGCTTTTTGATTCGACAATTCCCCTACATGTCCTGCATAATCATGATAGGATAGACCCCCAAACCCTGTTCTTCTTTTAAAGGCCCCTTTGTGTTACTAGGTCTGCTAGACCTGGGTTTTGACGTTTTAGAGCTTTAATAGGTTTAGGTACTAGGGCAAGTTGGGATTTAGGGTTCGGGGTCCCGGAGGCATGGATTGGACCAAGACAAGCGCGCTCGCCACCCGACACATGAACACGAATGTTATCTGGGAGCGACTCTCCGACATGGCGCAGCTCAAACTATGACTAGACGATCTGTGCATCTTCCAGGACCGAAGTACTGTGGGTAACTTTAGAACCATGGAGTCATGAGTTTTGGCTTTTGACGCTACTCCGTAAACCTTAGAAGCACCAAGCCCGAACAGGACGACTTGTGCCGGCAGAGAACGAGTTCCCGGACGCAAAGTTCGCAGGTCATGGCACCAAGCTGCGCAGCACCCGGCACCCGGAGGGGATGGCACCAAGAAGCGATGCCATTCCTTTGCAGGCAGGACGGGCGGGATAAGGGTGTAGGAGCTTCCCGTCTAATGTCGAGGCCTGAATATTCGGGAGAGTTTCGGGATGCTGACGATAATGTACAAATGTACACCCCAGGAAAGAAATTAAACTAGTCTGCTTAGCAAGGACCCCCCCCCATAAATTGGTGCCTGGGCATGTTGAGTTTGCGGTTCGGTTTTTGGTTCGGACGTTTATCGCCCATCGTCTTCTGCTCGAGGACCGGCCTGCTCCTATACCCGACAAGGTATCTCCTACCTTTCGCCGTGAACCCTGCAGAGGTTTTGAGGGGTTTCGGGTTTAGGGGCTTTGGAATTTCGGGGTTTACGTTTTAGGGCCTTTTAGGGTCTATCCTTGCTCCACTCATCTGAGATCATGGCGAGGTCATGGCTTCTGAGCGTCGGGACGTTCCTGTCCGCAGTTCGCGCTGAGCGGCGCAGTCCGAGTGGCTTCTGTCTGTTGCCCCACGGGTCTGGCAGAGCTCTGTCCGTAGCTGGGAGAAACTTAGGGTTTAGGGTTTAGGGGGGTTTAGGGTTTAGGGTTTAGGGCATACCCTCAAACCTAAACGGTGATGGGTAAGGGATTTGAAGTTGCAGAGTCTTGACAAGAATTCGCTTCAGCCGACAGCACTGATAACCCCTACGTGCAATACACATCACAGTCCGTCGACGTTTCCTAAATCGTACAGGTTGAAACTGTGAACTAAACCCCTGTGCCCGAAACCCAAACCCTCAAAGCTCCCAAATTGAAGGGCCTGTGGGGCTGTGATACCTTGGCTGTGTCAAGGCGGTATGGAAGCCGGGGAGAAAGAACCGTCGGGTCTAGGATGATAGGGGTTCAGGGTTTAGGGCGTTTAGGGTTGGATGTAGAGCCCTATCTAAACCTGTGTAAACGTAATCCCCTCAACCCTGAACCCTGAATTAGGTGCCGCTTTCTATATGTCAAGGTCTTGCTAGAGTTCAATGGCAACGGGCTCGGTGGATTCAGGTTCTGAGAGTTTCACTGGACCCCTGCAGTGTTGCGATCGTATGCTCAGCATGACGACATTCCCTAAAGTTTAGGGTAAGGGTTTAGGAAATGCTTTTTGAATGGATATCGCCCGATTTTAACATGTTCACGAAACAGCAGTTCAATAGTTTGGGTTTCAAGGGTGTGGTGTTTCGACGTTTTGGAACAGATAGCTGAAACCCTGATCGAAGCCTTGGAGATCTTCGCAATGCATCGTGATAAATCAGGGGCACGAGTGAAACTGAGCAGCATAAACAATGGAGGACCCTCAGCTCTTAAACCCTAAACCCCAAACGCTGGGATAATTTTAAACTTACGAAAAAGCTGTGGGGTGCACTCATATCCTGATTTGTCCCTAAACCCTAAACCCTACAAACCCTACAAACCCTATAAACCCTATAAACCCTATAAGCCCTACAAGCCCTATAAACCCTATAAACCCTATAAGCCCTGTAAACCCTATAAATCCTATAAGCCCTATAAGCCCTATGAGCCCTATAA